GTAGTGTTGTATGCTTGTTCAACCTAGACTAAGCATGTTTGTGGATGCATTGTGGTTCTGTGGTTCACGTTTTTCCTTACCACTGCTAGTATAAATTATTGGAAGGATGGGTCTAGATGATAGCTATCTTAACTTCTGTAATAGCAACTGTTGGAACTTAAATATTAGGAGGATTTGAGTTTAACACTAGATCGGTTTTATGGAACACTATAATTTGAGCATGTCTACATACATACTGTGAATATTGTTTTGATGCTTACATTATCACAGTTAGTATCAACTGTGGAGGTTAGGATTTTGTGATACATACCTTACATATCTGTATGTTATTTGTAAGGTGTTAAATGGAAGTTTTAATTAATTCTGTCTTTATATCAGACTAAAGGGAACAACTTAAATTGGGCATGTATATGTTGTTGTTGTGACCCTGTTTATCAATGCTTATTTTATCACTGCTAACATTGAATGTTGGATGTTGGAATTTAGCTGATATATACTTGATTTATTGGTATTATTGACTACTGGAGGATTGGAAAGTAGGCACCGGTATGGGACGGTGGCATACTAAGGATGAGTTTGGTTTTTAAAATAATACCATTACCCACCTACTTGGAATAAGGATGGGATTAACTAAAAGTTAAGTCCCGTGGATTTGTATTGTCATGGCAACTACTTGTTGAGCTGCAATACCAGGGATTTTGGATGGATTTTATATATGTACTGTTATGGTGCCTCGGTATGAGCTTGAGCCTCAGGACCGATGGCTAGGGAGCGTATATGCATCGGGATGTGTAGCTGGCTACGATGGTTGGAGGTGTACCCTGTTTAGGTATAGGTACATATGCCCACTTCGTGTGCATTTTAGCATGTTACCTCTATTCAGGTTGAGACCGGCCTGTAGTCCAGTGAGAGTCCTTTAGTGTGACTATATATATATTTACGGACTATTAGCTATTGTTGAATTGTTTAGGATGTACATGCGTATCGGGCCTCTATTTGGATTGTAGTAGTATAGAACTTGCGCGTGGGCCTGACCCACTTTTATTTTTCAGGTACACGACAGTTCCAGGCTTAGACGTGTTCGTGCTGAGTAGAGGTCTCTATTCACTCTTCCGACGATGTAGGGCTCTCTCTATAGTTTTATTTCTGGACGTTTATTACAGTTGTTCTATCTTCCGTTTGGATGTTTAATAGGGGTCCACTAGAGATGGATTCCCAAGTTGTAAACTGATGGAGTTTTGGAGTTTGGGTTTGATGGATTTTAATAATTATAATATTTTGCGGATTCTATTTTTAGTTCCTTCCAGCTTTAATTTCATTTATTAATTTATTTTGTATTCCGTGTTCATTATAAAATATTAATTGTTTGATATTCCCTCGGGTTTGGGCCTGGGCCTGATCAACCCGTGTCTCGGATCCGAGGGGTATCTCAGTTGGTATCAGAGCACTCCAAGTTCAAGTGTCTCTAGGATGTTTTCGTATTAAGTCTTCCGCGTAGCGTTTTCTCTTGAATAGAGCTTAAGTTAGGGTTCATTGTATTCCTTATGGTTCGTATAGAAAGGGTACTGACGTCTGTCTTTTCGTGTTAACAGATGGTTAACGCTAGAAATGGACAGAACATGCAAGGAACTAGGAAGGAAAGGAGAACGGCACGTAGGCAACAATATCTCCTACGGCGTCAGCAAATGGAGGAAGAGCAGCAAAGGCTTGGGTTTCAAGATGACATGGATCAGTTTCAGGAGGAACAGGAGAATGTTCAACAGACTCTGGACCAGGTCAGAGATCCAGAGATTCCTCCTCACCTCAATGACCTCGTTGCTCGGGCTACAGAGGCTAGGGTAACGGCTGCACTTCAGAATCAGCCTCAGGTACAGCCGGCACCTGTACCAGCACCAGTGGTTCAGACGGATTCTTGGGGAAAGGCTAGGGGCTCTTTCACAAAGGGGAGTCCACCTGTGTTCTCAGGCTCAACCGATGCAAGAGCAGCTCACCAGTGGAAACAGGACATTGAGCGTCATCTTCGTTTGGTTCAGTGCACGGAGGTTCAGAAGCAGATGCTTGCTACTTTCAAGCTAGTTGGGGATGCATTACAGTGGTGGGAGTCAGTTACCACCTCAGAGGAGAGGATGACATTGTCTTATGATGAGTTCAGTGCTCGCTTTGATGAGAAATATTTTCCCTATGCAGTCAGGGCAACTATGAAGACCGAGTTTCTAAGTCTGCAGCAGGGAAACATGACAGTGGCGGAGTATGAGCAGCAGTTCACACGCTTGTCTCTCTTTGCACTGGAGGAGGTGGATACAGAGGAGAAGAAGCGCAACAGTTTTGTCAAAGGACTGGTGTGGTCTATCAAGAGAGCTATTACAGGTAGTCCAGCCTATACTACCTATGCTCAGGTGGTAGACGCCGCTCTACAACAGTATCAGTTGACTGTGGACATCAGACAGGCTCATGGTGAGAAGCGGGGAGATAAAGACTCTACTAATCAGTCAGCTGAAAAGGGGAATGGCAATAGTCACCGGCAGAATGACAAAGGCAAGTTCCAAGAACAACAGCCTTGGAAGAAGCACAAAGGTGGTTCAGATGCTCACCGGAATGGGGCACCTATTCAGAGGCAACAGAATAGGGGACCACAGGCAGGACAGAGTCAGCCACGGGCTAACCGACAGAGGAGGCCATTTGGTACTTTTCAGGGTAGTTGTTACATTTGTGGAGAGTATGGTCATACCACCAGGCAGTGTCCTAAAACAGGACAAGGACAGGGACAAAGACAGTATGTGCAGCAGGGACAGAGGGCGCCAGTGCCTTTACCAGCTCCACAGGTTCCACGGATTCAGGGACAGACACATCTAGCTTTACCGGCACCGCCGCAGACTCAGGGACAAACACCACAGTAGTTGCACTATGGCAGGGTGTATAACTCCATGCCACAGGATGTTCAGGCACCTCAGACTATTGAGGGTAAGTTTCTTATTCATGGTTTGCATGGACGTGTTTTATTTGATACGGGTGCTACACACTCATTTGTAGCTAGGACTTTTGTTGTTTTGTCTGGGATGAGGACGAGAGTATGCACTAAACCTCAGGGTATTTCTACACCATTGGGTGATACAGCTATTATACATGAGAGTGATGGGCCTGTGACACTAGATATTGGCAGACTCAGATTTCTAGCCAATCTATTGGTCATGGACATGCACACTTATGATGTGATACTTGGGATGGATTGGTTGTCTCACTACCATGCCCAAGTTATTTGTTTTGATAGATCTATTATTTTTACCATACCTGGTCAGGATATGTATGTAGTAGCTATGCCACGTTCTAAAGGGGGCGGTAGCGCCTATTTGTTCCATGTGGAGGAAGAAAATGATTACTGTGTCATTGGATAACATACCGATTGTACAGGATTTCCCGGATGTATTTCAGGAGATTCCAGGGTTGCCACCTAGTCGCGAGATCGATTTTGTGATAGACTTAACTCCAGGCACTGCGCCTATTGCTAGGGCACCCTATAGGATGGCACCGGTAGAGATGAGAGAGCTGAGGAATCAGATTCAGCAGTTACTCGGCCAGGGTTTTATTCGTAAGAGTACATCACCTTGGGGAGCACTGGTTCTGTTTGTAAAGAAGAAGGATGGTTCGCTTCGTCTGTGTATAGATTACAGGGAGTTGAACAAGGTTACGATTCGTAACAAGTATCCTTTGCCCAGGATTGATGACTTGTTTGATTAGTTAAGGGGAGCCACATATTTCTCCAAGATTGATCTGCGTTCTGGGTATCATCAGCTGAGGGTCAGGGAGCAGGATGTTCCTAAGACAGCATTTCTCACGCGATATGGTTCTTATGAGTTTCGAGTTATGCCGTTTGGGATGACTAATGCACCTGCAGTATTCATGGACTTAATAAATAGAGTCTTTCGGGCTTATTTGGATCAGTTTGTTATTGTCTTTATTGATGACATCTTGATTTATTCTCGGTCGGAGGACGATCAAGCTAGACATCTTCGCATAATCTTGCAGACGCTTCGTGAGCACCAGTTATATGCCAAGTTCGAGAAGTATGAATTTTGTCAGCGGGAGGTGAAATTTATGGGTCACGTGGTGTCAGAAAAGGGGATAGCAGTGGATCCGGCCAAGGTTTCAGCGGTGGTTGAGTGGGGACAGCCTACATCACCTACTGAGATTCGGAGTTTTCTCGGTCTGGCAAGATATTACAGGAGATTCATCTTGGGGTTCTCCAAGATAGCAGGACCACTCACTCATCTGACCAAGAAGGGTGTACAGTTCGTGTGGGATGAACACTGTCAGCGAGCTTTTGATGAGCTGAAAAGCAAGCTGACTTCTGCACCGGTTCTGGCTACTCCGCAGAGCGGGATAGAGTATCTTGTTTACACGGATGCTTCGTTGCAGGATCTTGGATGTGTATTGATGCAGGAGGAGCGACCGATTTCTTATGGATCTCAGAAACTTAAGCCTCATGAGCTTAATTATCCAACACATGATTTGGAGTTGGCAGCAGTGGTCTTTGCCTTGCGTATTTGGAGGCATTATCTGTTGGGTGAGTCCTTCAGATTATTCAGTGATCACAAGAGTCTGCAGTACTTGTTCACTCAGCGGGAGCTAAATATGAGACAGCGCAGGTGGTTGGAGTTTGTAAAAGACTATCATTTTTCTATACAGTACCATCCAGGGAAAGCGAATGTAGTGGCGGATGCACTCAGTCGCCGACCTGTTGGTAGTCTTTCTGCTCTATTCACTACTGAGTGGAATGCTTTAAAGAGTGTGGATGAGTTATCGGATGCTTTTATGGCTTGCATGGTGGTTATACCTTCCATCACTGGCCCATTTCACTTGCTCTCAGTCTAGGCTTCAGAATTGCTTCAGTGGATATTGGGCCTGATGAGTGGTGATCTGGTCGGGCCAAGTATTATTCCCGGACCCAATTTTTAGTAACCCGGGTTGTGACCGGACTCGGTTATTTTTGGCATCCTCAGAGCCATTGCTGGGATTGAAGATGAACAGAGGTTGGAGGTCCTAAATCCATCAAATCATAATGTAAGGAGGATAGCCTGTTAAAACTATCTGATTTGATTTCTGAACCTAAACCGGCCCTTATTACTTTCTTTACACTAGTAGAAAATAACATCCAGGAAAGAAAACCCTGGATTTTTGTTTTTCTTATTTTCCTTAACCCGGAAATATTTGATCCTGAATTTTTGTTGTTTTACAACTAAACTATCCTGTAGAAATCTGATTCTTCCCAATCAATTAGTCATCTTACCCAAATGTTAGTCTGATATGTGATTAAGTGAGCTTTAAAGTATTATTTAAATATTTGGCGCATGCGCATAAATCGAACAATAAAAATATATATAAGACAGATCTGGTGAAGCTCATGTGTGAGCCTGCTCTTGGAGCCTATTTTCACAGTTAGTGGATCTTATATATTTGTGGCGCAAAGCGGGAAGGACTTATTGCCCAGCGTCTCAGAATTAATTGGGTTCAAGATATCATTGTGGTTGTTTCTGGTAATTAGGTTTATTTTATTTCAATTTGAAAAAAAAAAAATTAATGTTATTTCTCTAACTGACTGTTCGTTCTCTCCATGACTGTATCTTGAAGTTGTTTGGAGGTATTAGGGGCTTTGCAGCAGATAGAGGGAAAAAGTTAAAGACCAAAGCCTCGAGATTAATTGGGTTCAGAATATCATTGCGGTTACAAGTTGTGGTGGATGTAGCGTTACCAAGTCAACCACTGGAGGTATTCAGGTGATGGCTTCGGTAACGAGTCAATTAGGGTATTTGAATGCAATGTTATAATCTTATTCATATAATGCTGTCATTATTTTGAACAAGATAATTAATTGTTTGGTTTTTCAGGTTCGATGAAGATTGTTATGTTCATTAAGATTGTTATTTATTTTTTTATTTTTTATTTCCCACTTGAATTGATGGACAGGAAGAAAACTAAAGAAGAGTAAAATGGCCTAGGACCAATATCTTGACCTATAATGTCTTGGAGATCAGGGTCTGGGCTAAATCTTTCTACTAAACATATAGCAAATTTGAGTTTGAATTTTATATATTTTTCTTCCTTTTATCTTCTCTTGTTTGATTCTCGCACTTGTGTTGAAGTTATTGGAGGTTCATTCGCAAGGTTTTACAAGCACGACTCACCGATCAGCAGTGTGTCGACAAGGTCGCAGAGATAGCTTCCGGAGAGGTTCCATTCTACTATGTTGGGGCTGATGGAGGTTTAAGGTACAAGGGACGGTTAGTGGTATCTTCTGCTGATAATTTGAGGAAGGATGTGATGACTGAGACTCATCACTCTGGTTCTCTGTTCATCCAGGAGGCGATAAGATGTATCAAGATATGAAGCGGCAGTTTTGGTGGGCAGGTATGAAGAGGGACATTGCTCTTTTTGTTTCTCAATGTAGTACTTGTCAGATGGTTAAGATTGATCATCAGAGGCCGCCAGGAGCTCTACAGCCACTACCAATTTCGGAGTGGAAATGGGAGAGCATATCTATGAATTTTGTGGAAGGGTTGCCAAATTCTTTCAAGGGGCATAATTCCATATGGGTCATTGTGGATAGGTTGACCAAGTCAGCTCATTTCTTGCCTATTTGCACTGACTACACTTCGGAGCAGTTGGCGAGGCTTTACATTTCAGAGATTGTGAAGCTACATGGCATTCCATTATCTATTATATCGGACAGGGATTCGAGCTTTGTATCTGGATTTTGGAAGAGTTTTCAGCAGGTTTTTGGTACAGAGTTACACCTTAGTACTGCTTATCATCCTCAGACTGACGGACAGACTGAGAGGGTGAATCAGATTATGGAAGATATGCTTCGGTCACGTGTTCTTGATTTTAAGGGCCACTGGGAGGAATATTTGCCACTTGTGGAGTTTGCTTATAACAATAGTTTCCAGAAGACTATTGGTATGGCACCATTTGAGGCATTGTACGGTCGACCGTGTCGGTCACCTGTTTTTTGGATGGAGGTTGGAGAGAATCGATTCTTAGGTCCTGAGTTCATCAAGGATACCTCTGAAAAGATTGCTCTTATTCGAGATCGCATGCGTACTGCCCAAAGTAGGTAGAAGAGCTATGCTAATCGTCGTACTCGGGCTTTGGAGTTTCAGGTTGGGGATCAGGTTCTACTCAAAATGTCTCCTATGAAGGGTGTTATGCGCTTTGGGAAGAAAGGGAAGTTGTCACCGCGATTTGTTGGTCCATTCATGATTACGGATCGCATTGGAGCTGTTGCTTATCGGTTGGCACTTCCAGATACTTTGGATCGCGTCCACAACGTGTTTTATGTTTCCATGTTGCGGAAATTTCTTTGAGATGAGGATCGGTATCAGCATATCGATGTTAGGGAGATTGCGTTGCAGCCGGATGCAACTTATTTAGAGCCACCGTGTCGTATTGTCGATCGACGAGATCAGATTCTTCGTAATAAGGTTATTCCTTTGGTTCATGTTCAGTGGAGTAATCACAACGAGTCTGAGTCTACTTGGGAACGAGCGGATGTCATTCGCTCATGGTTTCCTGAAATATTGGAAGAAGGTAAGAGTGAATTCCGAGGACGGAATTCCTTTTGTTAGGGGGGATGAATATAATACCCCTAATTTTGAAAAGGATATTCCTGGTATTTAATGGTATTTAATTTATTATTTAAGTGCATTTTATTTGATTATGTGTCATTATTTTTTTTATTAGGCGCTTAATTATTTTCTTTTGTGGTGATTTAATTTATTTCTTTTGTGGTGATTTAATTTATTTAAATGATATTTATTTTTAGTTATTTGATTGGAATTACTTGTTAGGTTTTAATTATTTAATTGGCATTAATGGTTTAAGTGTAATTGGTTTAGTTATTTGATTGGAATTACTTGTTAGTGTTTTAATTATTTAATTGGCATTAATGATTTAAGTGTAATTGGTTTAGTTATTTGATTGGAATTACTTGTTAGTATTTTAATTATTTAATTGGCATTAATGGTTTAAGTGTAATTGGTTTAATTATTCTATGTGTGTCTTATTTTATGTGTGTCTTATTTGGTTTAATTGGGTTTACTAATTATTATTTTGTTCAATTAGATTATTTGTTAAGTATTTAATGGTGAATAGGGTAATTAGGTAAATACATCTAACTAGGGTTTTAATTACAGTATAAATTAGGGTTTTATATTATAGCCGTCGTAGGTTTCTACGTTAATTGGATGGGCCTGTTAGGATTGTGAGTTGGACTTAAATGAATCTAGGGTTTAGGAAAACTCTATAAGTATAAGGTAGACGTCTGTGTAGGGTTTTTTTTAAACAAAGCACACGTTTTGTGGAAGTGGAGAAGGAAAAAAGCAGTTTTTCACATTCTGCCAAGGTTTGATCAAAGCTCCGATCCCGCTTCGTCCGTGGTCCGATCGAGCTGAATTTGGAGGAGAGGTTCATGACTCAGTGACGCACAATCTGAACGGTGCAGATCAGAGTTTGACCTCGGGAGCAGTGATTCGTACTCGTGAACAGTAACTGGGTTGCACAGGTTTTTTTCCATTCTGCCCAGATTTCATCAAATATCTGATCCCGCTTCGTTAGTGGTCCGATCGAGCTGAATTTTGGAGGAGAGGTTCACGACTCAGTGACGCACAATCTGAACGGTGGAGATCAGAGTTTAACCTCAGGAACAGTGATTTGTTCTCGTGAACAGTAACTAGGTCGCACAGGTTTTTTTCCATTCTGCCCAGATTTCATCAAACATCCGATCCCACTTCGTCTGTGGTCCGATCGAGCTGAAATTTGGAGGATAGGTTCATGACTCAGTGTCGCACAATCTGAACAGTGGAGATTAGATTTTGAGTTCAGGAATAGTGTTTCGTACCCGTGAACAGTAACCGGGTTTTGGAACTCGCCGGGATTTTTTTAAGAAGACGACATTGAAACTTTGAACAAAAGTTTCTGAGGCAAGATTCTATCCTTACTCTTTCCCTTAGGCTTCATACTCTTTGCACTCTTAAATGATTTCAGGATTAATGAAGATTAAACCAAACTAAAATGATATCTGTTTTGCTATGAAACTAGTAATTACAGTAGTGTTGTATGCTTGTTCAACTTAGACTAAGCATGTTTGTGGATGCATTGTGGTTCTGTGGTTCACGTTTTTCCTTACCACTGCTAGTATAAATTATTGGAAGGATGGGTCTAGATGATAGCTATCTTAACTTCTGTAATAGCAACTGTTGGAACTTAAATACTAGGAGGATTTGAGTTTAACACTAGATCGGTTTTGTGGAACACTATAATTTGAGCATGTCTACATACATACTGTGAATATTGTTTTGATGCTTACATTATCACAGTTAATATCAACTGTGGAGGTTAAGATTTTGTGATACATACCCTACATATCTGTATGTCATTTGTAAGGTGTTAAATGGAAGTTTTAATTAATTCTGTCTTTATATCAGACTAAAGGGAACAACTTAAATTGGGCATGTATATTGTAATACCCCGTAATTTTAAAGAATGTATTTAAATTAATTTTGTGTTAGGTTAATTAATTTTATTTATTTGTGCATACTACATTATTATATTAAGTTCATTTAAATTGTGCATGTAATATGCATGTATTATTATTAATAATTTTATTTGTTGGTTATGCTTATATTAATCATTATTAGCTAATTAAAGTATTATATTTGTGTTATATAGTATTATGATGTTATAATGTATTCTTTTGTACTAATAATAATTATATTAGTTTAATAATAATAATAATATAATAATCATATAATAATAAAAAAATTTATTAATAATAATATTAGTAATAATAATAATAATAATAGTTATAATAATAATACTATTAAATCAATGTAATGATGGAAAATTAAATATTAGGATAGAATTTCATTTACTATGGTAGAATGGTGGATCAAATATCTTGATTTAAGATAGCATTGTCTTAAAGCCATATAGGTAGGAATATGAGAAATGGGTGAGAAGTTAATATAAATTAGATATTTGTATTATATATATTATATAAGTTTGTATATATATATTAGTAGCCAACTTACTCTAAAGGCAACTTACTTAAGTTAGAAAGCTTAAACATTCTAGTGAGCTATTTTATAAGAGTGAAAGGAAAAGAGAAAGAGAAAGAAGCTTGGACCGGTGTAAGCAATTTTACCCGACTACGCGCAGACCGGCGGATTTATTTTAAATCCAAAAAGGCAAGTTATTATCTACTTTTCCCCTTTGAATTAATAAATTAATTGTTTAGCTTATTTTTATGCATAGAGCCAAGGTTAGGAGGTTAATAAATTATTAGTTTTATTTTATTAAATTAATGGAATTTTAATTATATAGGATGGTATATATTTATTTAATGTCCTATGAAATTAATAATGGCTAAAAATAATTAAATAAGGCTTTAGGGACTTTTCTAGAATTTTCTAGATTTTTCCGGGCATTTTCTGCAATTTCCGGCGACCTTCCGGCGAGTTTTCCGGTCGCCGGCAATGGGGGAGATGACCGGAGTGATCCGGTGTGACGCGGCGCACCATAGGAGGGTGTGCGAGCGCATCCTGGGCCTTAGATGAAGCTGATTTATCCGGTGCATCGCGGTCCATGTTACCGCGGTACACCCGGATCTGTGGGCGTTGGATGGAGGGAAGATAGGGTGAGATGATCCGGTGTGACGCGAGTACGGAGTCCGGATGCAGCCAACCAACCAGGAAGTGACACGTCAGCAAGGCACCCTTAGTGCGCGCGTGGCAGCGCGTGCGCGCGCGTGGAACTCTCCAGACGCGCGTGGGAGCGCGTGCGGGCGCGTGGCTGATGCCAGACGCGCGTGGAGGCGCGTGGGAGAGTGGGGAAGGTTGGGCTGCGCGTGGGGAGGCTCTGGGAGGCGCGTGAGGGCGCGTGTGGGGTCCCTACAGCTGCTGGAAATTACCAGAATACCCCTAGGGCCTGTTTTGTAAATTCCAGAACCTTAAACTTGGATTTTTAGGTACTGTGTTGGTATTTACGGGTTTATCGGGCCACGAAATTATTATTTTAACACCCGTTACTTATTCTTGTGACCGATTAATCTTTTCTAGGCATATATTGGCTCGTTCACAGTACGGATACTAATGTGACTTATTTAACGACGTTGTTAAATATAAATAGTGTTATTATTGTATTAAATGGTATCAAACATTACTGTTAAATTAAATAAGGCCATGGTTTTAGTCAGATAAATTATCCATGATATCTTATGGGATGTTTATACTGTTAATTGATATTTAAACCATGATTATTATGCAGTGTGCATTTCAGGAAATAAATGGACTGTTTAAATTATGTCGCATTTATATTATATGGATGTGTTGCCATATAGAACCATATGAGCTGGCTAATAAGTTTAGACTCATTTATACCTTATGCATTCGTTGCGATAGACAGATGTGTGGCTGTCGGGGTATGTGGTTTAATATTATTGGCATGTGTTGCCTAATTGACATACTCGGTATATTTATTAATATTATTGGCATGTGTTGCCTAATTGACATACTCGGTATATTTATTAATATTGTTGGCATGTGTTGCCTAATTGATATGCTCAGTATATTCATCAGTACTTTGCGAGGTGTTATCACTGTGTAGTTCATTATAGTCTGTGTTGTCAGTACCGTGCACCATGTATAATAGCTGATTTCCCGGGTAGGGAAAGGCGACACTTAACCACCTAGTGTGAGTCTAAGTGATCACCGTCTATTCTGGTTGAGGTCATGTTATACATCGGATAGTTCCCGTAGGATGTATACAGATATAGTACTCATCCGATTCATAATGATTAATTTATTTGATTCTCTGATTTGGGTCATAGTAGAGAGGACTTGCTCGTGGGGTTGACCCACCATTGTTGTTATTTCAGGATACGGTCAGTATCCGTTTCAAGGTTGAGGTTAGCAGTGGGGGACCACCATCCGAACTCATCTACTCTTACGATCCAGTGCAGAGTAGAAGTTTTATGTAATACTTCAGTTTCAGTTTTTATTTACTTTTGACGTTGAACTCTCAGGGTTATATTTAGGGATCCCTGACGTAGGATTTCCAAGTTGTAATGAAGTACTGTATTAAATAAAGGATGGATGGATGTTGTATTATTTAATGTTTCTTTTCTGTCTAAATTCTTTTATTTCCATCATTTTGTATTCCATGCTTGTATATTGCCAATTGTTTTTGATATCCTTCGTTTTTCGTGTATAAGCCTGATCAACTTATGCGTGGAAAATGTGGGGGTGTTACATATATGTTGTTGTTGTGACCCTGTTTATCAATGCTTATTTTATCACTGCTAACATTGAATGTTGGATGTTGGAATTTAGTTGATATATACTTAATTTATTGGTATTATAGACTACTGGAGGATTGGAAAGTAGGCACCGGTATGGGACGGTGGCATACTAAGGATGGGTTTGGTTTTTAAAACAATACCATTACCCACCTACTTGGAATAAGGATGGGATTAACTAAAAGTTAAGTCCCGTGGATTTGTATTATCATGGCAACTACTTGTTGAGCGGCAATACCAGGGATTTTGGATGGATTTTATATATGTACTGTTATGGTGCCTCGGTATGAGCTTGAGCCTCAGGACCGATGGCTAGGGAGCGTATATGCATTGGGATGTGTAGTTGGCTACGATGGTTGGAGGTGTACCCTGTTTAGGTATAGGTACATATGCCCATTTCGTGTGCGTTTTAGCATGTTACCTCTATTCAGGTTGAGACCGGCCTGTAGTACAGTGAGAGTCCTTTAGTGTGACTATATATATATTTACGGGCTATTAGCTATTGTTGAATTGTTTAGGATGTACATGCGTATCGGGCCTCTGTTTGGATTGTAGTAGTATAAAACTTGCGCGTGGGCCTGACCCACTTCTATTTTTCAGGTACACAACAGTTCCAGGCTTAGACGTGTTCGTGCTGAGCAGAGGTTTCTATTCACTCTTCCGACGATGTAGGGCTCTCTATATAGTTTTATTTCTGGACGTTTATTACAGTTGTTCTATCTTCCGTTTGGATGTTTAATAGGGGTCCACTAGAGATGGATTCCCAAGTTGTAAACTGATGGAGTTTGGGTTTGATGGATTTTAATAATTATAATATTTTGCGGATTCTATTTTTAGTTCCTTCCAGCTTTAATTTCATTTCTTAATTTATTTTGTATTCCGTGTTCATTATAAAATATCAATTGTTTGATATTCCCTCGGGTTTGGGCCTGGGCCTGATCAACCCGTGTCTCGGATCTGAGGGGTATCTCAACTAGCCTCCTAAGCATGCATAGATCAAAATTAATAATTAAATGACCTTATCATGCACTTGAATGCATTCTAAAACAAGTTTTATAAACACATTATATTCCATCAAATTGTTGAAATTTAATTGAATAATTAATTTATCTTCCATTTGTTAACAACATAGGGAGTGTCTTAATTTTTACACTGTTTGTCCCGACAGTTTAGAATTAAACCCTAATCAATTTAAGGTCCTAATAACACCCAAATTCAGCCTTCTAAAGTCTCTGTGGAACCCCAGACCCAACAGATTTAAAACACCATGCTCCAATAGTAAGCACAGTACGTAAAAAATTAAAAAAAAAATTAAAACCAATCATAAAATAAAAAGGGAGCCTGCTCCAAAATTTGGAGCAGGCTCTTTTTAGAGCATGAAGCCGGCTCTAAACATCATAGAGCCAGCTCTTTTAGATGGGGGAGCCGGCTCCTTCCATTGTGGAGCCGGCTCTCTCCTCTTTGAGAGCCTACCGTCCGTCTGTTCTTCGTTTCAGTCCGTCCGCTCCTTCTCTGATCAATTCCGACCACTCTGTTGGTTTCTAAAAACTAATCTTAGGAATCTTAATTTAGTCTAGAAGCATTCCCCAAGATTGTTTACAATAATTTTGAAAACAATTACAGAGTTTAATCAAGCCATTTAAACTAGCATTGTTGAATAACAACACTGAAACTAAATTGCAACATCAGTTTTATCCCAACCCCTCTGTTCTTCCTCCAATTTAAATTTGAAGTCTTAAATTACATTTAGTATCCATTCAGACCTTGGTTGATTTCAGTAACATTCAAAATAAAAATTAGAACAGTGGGACGTTATGCCAAAACAGAGACAAGAAAAACGTACGGGCTATAATTGTTTTGTAAATAAATTTTACACAGATAAAACGATCAAGTAAAACATATATAAAACATGCATGGTTCAGTTTAAGGCCAATTAATCTCCTAGAGACTGTCTAAGTGCACAGAACACAAGCCAAAGGGAAGGAGGAAGATAAGAACTTGCCTGTACAGTTTTATAAACAAAACCTTATCGCCGTTGTTCTAAGCTTTCCGGCAACCACTGACTACCTTCTAGCCTCCTCTGGTTCTGATTTAATCCACCAAAATCCTCCCTTGCTCCTCTCTGTTATTTACTCAAGTTCTCTCTTTGTTTCTCTGCTCTCACAATTCTCTGTATCACTGTATACGGGAATAGAGTTTTATGTATTTTTTTCCTCAAACTCTAAACCCATATAAGGTCATATATATAGGCATAGTAATCCAACCCTAATCCTTGTATAATTGGAGCCCTAATGCAACACTTAGTCGGCCCAAGAATAACCTGAGTTATAACCTATGTCGGTTAATACGTGAATATACAGAAAAACACAATCCTAATTTAAATCAATTTTATTAAATAAAACCAATTATCAATTAAGTCAAATAAAACATTATAAAAACAATTTAATTTAAAATAATTTAATAAAACAAAACAAAACAATATAAACCATTAATTAAAACAAAATCAAATTTAAATAACTATGGAAGAAACACACAATTAAAATAACCAATTAATAGAATAACACGCAATTAAACAATTAAATAAAAGATTAAACAATTAAATAAATGCCAGGACTATCCTTTTAAAAGTAAGGGTATTACAACTGGATACTTGTTCTTCACAGTCACCTTATTCAGAGCCCTATAGTCCACATACATCCGCATTGAGCCATCCTACTTCTTCTGGAACAACACTGGTGCGCCGTACGGTGCCTTGGATGGTTGAATATAGCCAGACTCCAGCAACTCATCCAACTGTCTACGCAATTCAGCTAGTTCTAAAGGCGCCATCCGGTATGGGGCTTGAGCAGGAGCCCTTGCACCCGGCTCCAACTCTATCTTATGATCAACAGCACGTCGAGGGGGCAATTGCTTGGGTAGTTCTGGTGGCATCACTTCTGCAAATTCCTCTAGAATTTCAGCAACAGAATCTGGAACTTCAACAAACTGGTCCGGTTTGATCTCTATCATAGCTGCAAGAAAGGTAGAGTCTCCCCTCTTCAAACCTGTTTTCACTTGCAATGCAGAGATTATTTCGATGCAGCCATATTTACGATCTTCCTTCTTTTGGTGCCCATAAAGAGCCACTGATGGAATAAAACATGGACAACTCCTGTCCCAAATAAAAACTCATCCCAAATATGGCACAACTACCACTCTAGCTTTCGTAAGGAACTTAATTCCAAGAATTAGATCAAAATCATCTAAGGGTACAGCTATAAGACTAACTACGCCCTCCCAACAACCAACTTTCATAGAAGTGGTGGCCATGCCTAAGACAGGCTTGGCTTCAAAATTCACAGCTTTCATCTTATTAGCATGTGGAATTAACTTTAAATTAAAGTTACTTACTTCCCTCTGCGCAATGAAGTTATGAGTGGCCCCCGTGTCCACCATTGCCAAAACTTTCTTGCCGTTCAGCGTCACCTGAATGAACATGAGCCTTTTCAACTCCATGGACTGTTCTTCAGTAAGAGCATTCAGCATTTGCAGATGATTAACTCGGGTTGGACCAGATTCCGAGTCTGAGTCTCCTTTTGAATCAGCGACAATAGCACTCAGCTTCTCCCTCTTGGGGCAGTCCCTAACACGATGGGGACCATTGCAGATGAAACAACCGTAGTTGGGCTTAGTCCCACTACTACTTCCTTTGTTATTGTAATCTGCCTTGGCCTTGACAAAGCCACTGCCTTTATCCTTCTTTTGATTCTTGTCCTTCTTCTTGTCCTTGAACCTGAAGGACTGGCCTTTGTCTTTCTTCCCCTCCTTGGACTTCTTCTTGTCTTGTGTAGTAGACCCAGTCATCTTGAAATCTACAAGACAATCTGCCGCTGTCATGGTAGTAGGAAGGTCCCTCACACCTTGCCTACGGAGTTCTGCTTGAGCCCATGGTTGCAATCCGGACATGAAATTGAACAGCTTGTCTTCCTCTGACATATTTCGAATGTCCAGCATCAAGGAACTAAAGTCCTTCACATAGTCACGAACGGTACCTGTGTGCTTCAATTTCTTCAGAGATTCCCTTGCAATCCATGCAGTGTTCTGAGGCAAGAACTGGTCCTTTAATTCCTTCTTAAGGGTCTCGCAAACTTCAATCCGAGGCCTACCCGCAGAAGCATCGTCCTCTGTCTGTGTGCGCCACCATAGCTTTGCATCACCAGACAGATACATGCTTGTAATGGTCACCTTCTCGCCATTAGGGATCCGAGCAGCCTTGAAGTACTGCTCCATGTCCCATAGGAAATTCTCCAACTCTTTGGCATTTCGGGTACCACTGAAAGACTTGGGATCTGACACCTTGATCTTCTGCGAAAGAGGATCACCACCGCCTCTGGAACTCCCATGAATGGCCCTCTTCACCAAGGACACTTCATCTTCAAGGTCTTTTAGGTTCTTCTTGAAGACATCAGTCAGCGACTCAACATCTTCAGAGATACGGGTCAATTACTCTTTGGTGGCCTGCATGAAGTCACCAAACCCATCAGGATCAGTCTTCAGGGTCTCCACTTCAGAAGCCAAGTTTTTGATTCGAATAACAAAGCTTTCTGCACCATCTTGTACCTTTGTTTCTGTAGGAAAACCCACGAACTCTTCCAAACGGGAAACTCTCTCACGAGTATTACCTCCAGCCATCGTAGAACGGGGCTCTGATACCAATTGTTACAGGGCTAAATTACACCACGAATTTTTGCCTCTGTAATGGCACTTGGGGCCACCAAGTCTCAGCCAACACAATAACACAATACACACAGTATAGAAATGTAAAGAAGGCACACACAGTTTACAGGGACAAGCCCCAACCTTTGCTCCTATTAAACATATTACAAAGGAACATGAGTTCGTACAAGGAACAACCAAGGCTCACACCCTCATCTCTGTTCTCTCTACAAAGCCCACCTTAGCATTATATGGGCCACTCTTAAAACCGCCCATAACTGCCCACTAAGATGATGGATGACACCCCCATCCACCTAGGGTCGTGCTGGCACCCTTTAAATGTGCCAGCACTATACTGCAGTTGACAAGCCCAACTGCTAGACTTTTTGGCATGTTCTGCTCAGGCCACATAACCACAAGAAGTTACATTCTGCATAGTGGAGGAAACCACCCTTAACCGCCTGTGTGTTGGTCCTCTCAGAATTGTGCCACATGTTTGGGAGGTTACTCAGCATTCCCCCACTTCCCATGATGAGTGGGAAGTGCTAGTAACTTTTCCTAACCGACCGAGCCCACTAAGCCACCACATCTTGTAACCGCAAGCCATGACTTTGTGTTATTCATGCTCTAGCCACATCTGAGTCAACCTTGTGAACCTAGCCCAAGCCAAGTCCACCAATCTGCACTGACATATATATGTCTCTGAGTGCACGGCGTGCCAAGCCATGCACGCCCGTACGCATGCTCGGGTGCACACCAAAGTGCACGCCGGCGCATACACTAGTGCCCTTCTTCGCGCGCCATGTTTGAACCCTCATGCGCCCGTGGCTGTACGCCCGCCTGGACGCCCATGTGCACGCCGAGCTAGACGCTCGCGCTTGCGCACACTAGGTTGGACGCTTACCCGCGCGCCCACCTGCACCCCCGCACGCGCGCCGCTGCACACCAGCGCGAGTGTCGGTGCCCACTTATTGCCCTTCAATATCTTAGATGCTCCCCACTTGTGCAACCATCTTGGAGCGGTGCAACACGTGCCCATGCACGTTGGCTAAGCCCTCTAAGCAAGCCATGCCATAGCCCAACTGATGTGCTCAACAGACCCCCCTAGTATAGTCTTAAGGAAATCCAGCACTCTGACAGGAGTAAACATCACCCATGCTTGAGGAGTCATAATGGCCTTTCAGGCCTTTCCCGACATCCAAATTGAGTGCCGTCTGCGCCAACCAGCTTCTATGGACTCAAGGTACCTCCCATAAAGATCCCGAGTCAAAACTCCAAGTTTCACTTTTTGCCATATTTACGAAAGTGCCACTGGGCACCCCCAGTGCACACCGAGCATCCTTTTAAGCATCTTGTGTGCACGCTGAGCATCTTGTGCACACTGACAACCCCCTGAGCAATCCTCATGGCTGTCTAACTAAAGCCAAAGTATTCCCAAGACATGGCATGGCCTTGAAATGTCCATGTCTTCCATTGGACAATCGTCAAGGGGCTAACAGTAACTTAGTATACTGCTGGAATTAGTAACTTAGTAATGAAGGAGAAAACAAAGAAGTAACACGAAGAAGACAATCATTCTCTATAGAGTTTTATAATTTATTTTTGTATTAATTTTTATTTTGTATATTTTTTTTTTATTTCACTTTTAAGTTGTAGTTTTTAACTTTTTATGTATATAATTGTAATATTTGTTTAGATTCATTAGTTTACTCATCTTCTTTTAGTAATATTTTATTTATTACATATTGTAACAATTATTATTAATTTTGTATAGCAAAGTTGAAGAATGTCAGGTGCTGAAGAAAATGGTTCTAGTAGTGGCGATATTTTGGTAATACATCCGGAGAACTTCAATAAAAATCATTAAAAATCGCATATCAATTTTAAAAGAAATTCACAAATGACATAGCACAACGAACCACACTGCAACTGCAAATCATGGTCTCAGATACAATTGATTCGTCTTTGGACTTTACCTAAGTAAACAAGAAACAGACAACACCACTAGTGGCCTTAAAGAAGATCAGAAATATTCATCCCTTTCCTTCATAATCACCGGAAAACCACCTTTCATCTTAGACGTCAAGTGCGTTATTAAAACTGGCTCCACGCCTTCCTCCGCCGCCGGCAACACCCTATACCTCCGCAAAACACCAGCAACCACCCTCTTCATCTGCAGGAACGCCATCTCCTTCCCCAGACATATCCTGGGTCCGGCTTGAAACACCGGGTACGAGTACGCATCCCTCCCCACGAACTTCACTTTTCCGGTCACCTCCTCGTTCTCCAACCACCTCTCGGGGCGGAAATCCGCCCAGTCTGACCCCCACAACTTCTCCACCCTCCCCATTGCATAAGGATGATAAGTAACCCTCATCCCTTTCTTCACAACCGTCCCGTCCGGCCAAACGTCGTCCTCCGTTGCTTCTTTGCTGTCGATGGGGACCGGCGGGTACAGCCTCATGCTCTCGCTCAACGAAGCGTGTGTGTAAACCATGTCCTTCACTTCGTCGTAAACCGGTGAATCGGACTTTTCTCCGATCTCTCTGACAAGCTTATCTTCAACATCTGGGTTACCGGAGACCAACCAGAAAAACCACGTTAAAGCGGCCGATGTGGTGTCTCGGCCAGCTAATATGAAGCTGATGACTATATCTGTAACGAAATTTTCATCCGAATGACCGGAGATCAAGAATCTAGATAGTATATCTACAGAGTCCAGTTCTGCTTTAACAGTAAGTTCTTGTTTCTTTTCTTTGATAATCTGTTTAGCGAATTCTCGTACTTCATTGACAGCGATCCGAAGTTGTTTCTCGGATCCAATATTGAAAAATCTTTTGGTTTTCCAGATCAGAGGAAGAAAGGAATTGAACCTTTCGCTGCTGATCCGAACCGCATTTTCAAATGCCTCTGCGAATTTTGCCGGTGGCAGAGAAGGTAACAAGTAAGCAGGGTCATACCCAAATGCGATTTTACATATATTATCGAATGCAAATCTCTGAAGAACGTCTTGGAGGTCAAGCACGGTTCTGTTTTTGGCAGCGGCGGAGAGTATGGGAAGTAGACGATCTGAGAGCTCTACGTCCACTACGTGTTCGACGAATTTACGTAGAGACTTCGTGTTGAACTCGTGACTCGAAACTTGTCTTTGGAACTTCCAGGTCTCACCGTCGGCGTTGAAGATGCCATTACCGAGAAAGTCCGACAGAGTTCTGCGGAAGATGTCACCCTTTTGGTACTGATGGAAATGGGTTTTGAGGAGGTGCTGAACATTGGAGGGGTTGGCAGTCAAGACGGAACGGGAACCCAGAGGGCGGTCGAGGATGAAGGTCGAAGTGGGTGAGTCTCTGACAACATCCGATGTCCATTGAATGTGTCGTTTTCGATTAGCGTAGAATGCCAAGTAAGAACCGATCAATGGGTATGATCTCGGAAGCTTTCCCGACTTGGATGAGCAGAAGTTTGTGAAAATGGAGTTGGATTTGATGAAAAAGAGAAGTAATGGAAGGAGCCAAAACAGTAAGGAAGTTGAAAACTCTAGGTTTAACATGACTGATACGCAGAGAATATATATATATAAACTGTAACTTATGTGGATATGATGCGCTTGAGTCTCAATTAATAAATTTTGGGGAAGAAGGCTTGCGCTATATATAGCACATTCTGATCAGAGAGGTTTCTATTATTTCAAAATTTGCCCCTTTACTTTGACACGTTTCCATATGTGACTATAATGTTTCTGTATTTCTTTTTTTTTCCCTGTATTATGTGTATTTTTTTCAGGTCTTGTTTAACAAAGTTACATAGGATATGATTCTCTCCAATTATTTTTCTCTACAAGCATTTTCAAATCTTCATCGAACTATTAAATATATGCCATGTCATGGTTTCTATAACTAACCACTTCATTTTGGTTTCATACCGTATTTAATCCAAACAAAACTATTAAAGAGATTTATTCCCAGTCTTATAAGCTATGAATTCAGCAAAACTCTCCCATAAAAAATATTTTTATAAAAAAGCATTTCATTTTATTGTAGGACTACCATTTTCTTATTGAATTTACATTATGTGATATGTTCAAAAAATTGCTGCCTAAAGTTATTGATCATTTTATTAAATTTGATTCCATCAACATTCCAATATGACCATTCGCTAATTTTTTAAAACATATATATATATATATATATATATATATATATGATCATCAATGAAATTGTTCAAAAACTTGGCTCAATATCTTATACGAATTATGAAAGAGGTTGTGGCATAGAGCCTAGAGGTTTTTTTTTTTATTAAGAGCTCTGTGACAAACAAATTACAATCTGGCGGTCTAATCATTGGAGGGTAAGTAGGAACAAAACTCTTGACATTAGAGAGGGAATGTAAAATCCATAAACATGAGACTTAAAAACCAAAAATAAAAAATAAAAAAAAAAATAAATAAAAATGGGTGTGAAAATTTGAAATTAAACGTGCAGGGTTGCGTTAGAAATTTCTATTCTCATACGTAGAAATTTCTTTTTTCTAGAATAGTTTGATTTGGCGAGGCCATGAGTTGGGAAGGCATTTACTTTTTTTAGATTACAGACAACTATCAATTCGTACCTGCATTCGTCACTGGAAAATAGTTTGGCCACCGTCAGCATCTTCTAGGAAATGGTCAGCATCTTCGTCAGTGACCAGCAACGTACGGACTTACGTACTCTGGTGTAAAAATATCATCCAACATATTTATGAATAATGGCACAGCATCACAAAGTTTTTATTTTTATTTTTATTTGACAAAAAATATATTTACACATGCACTTACTTTTACGTAACCTTCTACTTTATAAAACTAGATAATATCACTAAGTTATACCGTCTGTTACAAAGTGTGTATTAAAAAGTGTATGATACTAATTCAAGTCATTTGTTCAATCCAATATATATTGAGCTATCACTTGTACCCACGTCGATCAGTTAGGTTAAATATCATTTTAAGAATTAATTGTTGTCGTTCGTGTAACCAATAAGACATTCTTCATGTAACCAATATGTGATAGCTGCAAAGTATACTTTTAGAAAATTTTGGTTTTTTTATTTGCCTCGGAGCATAACAGACCAAATGTTAGCAAATCGCAACAATGTGCAAATTGTTTTATTTTATTTATTATTAGAGTTAAATATATAAACACTCTTAAGATTTAATTTTTGCATAAGTAATAACTCTTATCAATTTCTTTTTAAGTATATAAGTCCGTTAAAATTAAAAGATATTGCAAATAAAGATTACTCTGTACTAAATCGTTAGAAAAGTACATGTTATAAAGTCGTTACCCATTTTCTATATATTCTCATGGATCCAAAACACCAACGTTTCCTCAGGGCTATTATAGTTATTTTACAATCATAGGGGTTTTTACTCTTTTATTTTATTATTTCAAGAAGGACAATTTAGTATTTTCATTATTTTATTAATGAGAACTTTGTTCACCCCCAAAAATGAACGTTATGGAAGGTTTTGATAAACAATAGGACTTTATATGTCCTATATGCATATTTTATGGGTAATTTTTTAGGGAGTTTTGAGAACTTAGAGTAGTCATATACTTATATGTACTGATAAATTATATATATGTATATGTAAATTTGAAATATTTTGTTGTTCGAAAGGCCAATAACCGATTTGGTCAACGATTTCTAGTTCAGGTGATTTTAGCATCTGACCTCAATTCCTAGTTCCTTTATCAAAGCTATAATAAATTAACTTTTCTCTCGCTTCTCTATGCCGTTCAGCCGCTGTCCTTCGTTTTCTTCCTTATGTTTGCTCTCCATTCTCATCATGAAAGTGGGGAGCTGCCGACCCTTGCTATCCACTAATTAATAAACTTGGTATATTATAATAGTTTGCTCGATAGGTGGTTACACGTTGTTTTGCTATTATTTTACTAAATCTATTCTTGTTTGATTGGTTTTCTGGCTCAACGGGATAGATCTGTTGTTTAGTCTCTAGTTAAATTTCTGATCTATGTCGGGTTTTATTATTCCTACCTTCTTGTGCGAGGTTAGGTGGTCTTCCCCCAGTTGGTGGCACCTTGTGAATGCAGCTTTGGAGTTATTGCCTTGATGATGGCCTGATCTTGGGATCACTCCCGCTTGCTGCTCTTCTCTCCTTGGTAATTTTTACTGTTGTATGTTGGTTTGTTTCTCAACGAATCTAGAACCTGTTCTTTAATTTTATTTTTTCTTTTATCGCTTTATTACTTGTTTGTCTTTGTATGACCATTTTTGATAGCGTTTATAGATGTTGCATGATTGTTTTTCTTATTGTCGGTATAAAAATATATATGTGTATATATATATATCTCAAAGCTATACTGATGGGAATGAAATGAATCAAATAGTGATTTTGGGGGTGCAATAATAAATTAGAAATAATGTACGTGTGAAATCAATAAATGTGAATGAAAGAAAGAAAACGAGTGTTTTGGGGGTGTGTGTAGTAATATATAATTTATATATATATATATATATATAAATAAATGTGTGTGTGAGGTAAGAGAAAAAGAAGAAAACTAATAAAATGTTACTCTACCTCTTACATGTCCAGTACGGAGAATTTAACTTTTTATGGCAGTGATGTTTTAATAGTTTTTTATTATATTGATAAGAGTAAAATTTTAAATATGTCATTACTAAAAAATAAAATAGTGTTGCGTAATTACTATAATTATTTAGTTAAAAAGGTAGTTTGAGAATGTTACAAAAAAAAAATAATATATTTAATTTTAAAATAGGGCATATGTTTTGGACATTTCAAAATAAAAAAATAAATAATTATTTTGGAACGATGGTGTACAGGTGTGATAAAATATATAGATAGGTTTGTGTGTTCAAGTGTTAGTGCTAAAAAGTGAATGAAACAAAAATAAGGAATGTGAAAGTCAAAGTAACGTGTGTATTTAATGGTAGTAAAAGGAACAGGAGGCCAAAGTCAAATATTGAGAGCTATGGAAAAGTTCCAGAACTGTTGAAGATTGGATTTGTATGGAAAGTTTGCCTTTAAATATGTGTGACCTAATAGAATAAAAAATAGAATGAATTTGTAATTTATTTGAATTTTTTTTTTCGATTAAATTTGTAATTTGTTTGAGTTTTTTTTTTGGGTTAAATTTGTAATTTATTTGAGTTGTTAGAGCTGTCGCTCTCTTTTATGTGATATTTATTTTTCTTTTGCTTTCGCTACGTTATATAACTACCTAATTTGTTTCTCAGAGCAGGCAATGAAAATATTCCAATGCAGAATATGTTTAATGGATTGCATATTGCAATCAGACTATATATTTAAGTGCCTGTTGATTTTTTCGTATTTGTGCACGTACTTAATATAGAGAACACGCCAGATAGGATTGAAACAAGAGTAGATATATAACAGATTTAGCTGAAACATCTCCTCCAATGAAATTAGATGAGAATTTATAAGAAGGAGAAGATTGATGAGAGAGAAAATGAGTGTGTCTAAAATATTTGTATGATACCTAGGATCAGCCCGAGAAAAGCTAATCCTATTTTTGGTACACATATGGACATTATTTGTAGACTTAGTAAACTTCTTTATTGACTAATAAGATTTAACAATCATTAACTAAATAGAAATATGATTCTTAAAAATTCTGAAGAAGAAAAACTCAAAAACAAAAGATTATATGATATATTGTAGGGTTCACTCTTAAGCTATTTTCCAACCTTGAAATCCTTCCGTTGAATAAACCACTAATTGAGACAACTGTTAAGCTACTGCCTTCTGGTAAACGTTCAATGTTGGCTAGTCCGGTCCTTGCAAGTAGAACTTAAACTTCACGCGTTTCCATTGTTCATCCAATGCAGCTCTATGATGAAGCTTGGGCCCCCAAGATGCAATTACCCTTTGACTTCTCTTTGGCATAAAAAAACAAATGGGTAGAAGGAAAAGAAAGAGTACAAGAAATGTGAGATATATAGGCCTTTTTTTGAAAATTCAAGTTATAAATAGGTCTATTTTTAGAGAACTATCTTTTATTATTCTATAAAAACTATTTTCTCTTCTTTGAATTCTTGAAAACTATTTTCAGAATTACAAATCAAACAAACTCTTGACTAATTTCATTCTCAAAACAAGTCCGATCGAGTTATAAAATTTTGGTTCAAAATTTCAAGATTCAAGATCGGAAGCAGATTTGAAAAAGTTCAAGTGTTCATACTTCAATATGCTCCGGAACGATGAGAACAACATTTTAAGAAAGCTTCAACAAAATGAAACCCGGAATTTTTAGGTAAAATTACTCAATTTTTTTAGGTTTTTCGAAAACCAACATTGTTTAAAGTTTATCCCTGCTTATTTTCATTGTTACATTTACTACAAAAGGATGGTTTCTCCGAAAGCATTCATTTTGTCAACCAGTCAAGCTGATTTGGTAAGAAGCCTGCATTTGTTGCATCTGCAAACACTCAGAATGATGTTAAAATGGCTATAAAGAGGTAAAAAAATCATAATCTAAAAAAAAAAAAAAACCTGATCTATACTCCCTCTCCCTAAAAACCCTGAACTTCTATTTTTACAATTAACCCCTGAAATCATCCACGGGCAAGGTTCCGTTTGGTTCCTCGGGCTAAATCCACACGTGATGATCACATGCCACCACTTATTCATGCCACAATAAAAAGGAAGATGGAGCCATTGTTGGGATTGAAGATGAACAAAGGCGCCATTGAAGATGCAAGAAACAAAATTTCTCAATTTAGAAAGATAAGTCTTTACACTTCAAAATATCTTCATGTCCTTTTCCTCTCTTTTCACTCTATTTATAGGCCTTTACCATTGTTCTAGAAGTTTCCTATTTAGCTCTTCATGCTGAACCAATGTTTTGGGCTTGTCTTGAACACTGGCCCATTTCACTTGCTCTCAGTCTAGGCTTCAGAATTGCTTCAGTGGATATTGGGCCTGATGAGTGGTGATCTGGTCGGGCCAAGTATTATTCCCGGACCCAATTTTTAGTAACCCGGGTTGTGACCGGACTCGGTTATTTTTGGCATCCTCAGAGCCATTGCTGGGATTGAAGATGAACAGAGGTTGGAGGTCCTAAATCCATCAAATCATAATGTAAGGAGGATAGTCTGTTAAAACTATCTGATTTGATTTCTGAACCTAAACCGGCCCTTATTACTTTCTTTGCACTAGTAGAAAATAACATCCAGGAAAGAAAACCCTGGATTTTTGTTTTTCTTATTTTCCTTAACCCGGAAATATTTGATCCTGAATTTTTGTTGTTTTACAACTAAAATATCGTGTAGAAATCTGATTCTTCCCAATCAATTAGTCATCTTACCCAAATGTTAGTCTGATATGTGATTAAGTGAGCTTTAAAGTATTATTTAAATATTTGGCGCATGCGCATAAATCGAACAATAAAAATATATATAAGACAGATCTGGTGAAGCTCATGTGTGAGCCTGCTCTTGGAGCCTATTTTCACAGTTAGTGGATCTTATATATTTGTGGCGCAAAGCGGGAAGGACTTAATGCCCAGCGTCTCAGAATTAATTGGGTTCAAGATATCATTGTGGTTGTTTCTGGTAATTAGGTTTATTTTATTTCAATTTGAAAAAAAAAATTAATGTTATTTCTCTAACTGACTGTTCGTTCTCTCCATGACTGTATCTTGAAGTTGTTTGGAGGTATTAGGGGCTTTGCAGCAGATAGAGGGAAAAAGTTAATGACCAAAGCCTCGAGATTAATTGGGTTCAGAATATCATTGCGGTTACAAGTTGTGGTGGATGTAGCGTTACCAAGTCAACCACTGGAGGTATTCAGGTGATGGCTTCGGTAACGAGTCAATTAGGGTATTTGAATGCAATGTTATAATCTTATTCATATAATGCTGTCATTATTTTGAACAAGATAATTAATTGTTTGGTTTTTCAGGTTCGATGAAGATTGTTATGTTCATTAAGATTGTTATTTATTTTTTTATTTTTTATTTCCCACTTGAATTGATGGACAGGAAGAAAACTAAAGAAGAGTAAAATGGCCTAGGACCAATATCTTGACCTATAATGTCTTGGAGATCAGGGTCTGGGCTAAATCTTTCTACTAAACATATAGCAAATTTGAGTTTGAATTTTATATATTTTTCTTCCTTTTATCTTCTCTTGTTTGATTCTCGCACTTGTGTTGAAGTTATTGGAGGTTCATTGCAAGGCAATAGTTCTTTTGGAATTGAAAAAAGTTGTGGGCTGTATTTAATATCAAGTGCAACTGCAGCAGAATAATAAAATTAGGCAAACTTCTTAAATTATTTTCACCATTACTGCAGAAGTTCTGTTCTTGCAGTTTTTGCAGTTGATTTGGCAATAGTAATTGTCCACTTAATGCAGGATTGCTGATGTTATGCCTTAATTGTCTAGAATACTTCCTAAGACGCTCTAGAATTCATTATGTCAATGTTATATATGCTTATAATGCATACTGGTGAATTGCTAAGTATTTATCTTCTTTTTTAAAAATATTATTTGAAATATTCTGTTGTTAGATAAGTTACTGGTTTAAAATGTGCACTAAAAGATTCACCTCTATTTATGCTTTGACAAGAATTTGGGTTCTATATACGTGCAAACGTAAGCATAATTATCATATTGTCTTCATGATCATAAGTCAGTACGTTCCCATCTCCTAATCAACCTTATTCATAATGTTCACCCATTGCACTCGACAGCTTTACTCTGGCTATGCGGAACAAAATCAAGCACAAAGTAAAAAACTTTTTGGTTAGTAGTAGTAGCTTACAACTACTTTCACTATAAGTAAGACATTTTTTTTTTTTTGGCTTCATTGAATTTCAGTTTGTTAGTTTTTTTTTTTGAAAGAAACTGTCTGTACTTTCTCTCAATGACTGTGTATCCTGGAGGAGTTTGGAGGAATTATTAGGGGCTTTCTGGTGCCAAGGGGAAGTCTCTATTTCCGGCCCTCTAGGTTGCACTCCTGGAATAAAAGAGTCTGACCGTTGTAGTTTATATAGTTGGATTCCTTTCACACCTCTTTCAGCAAAGTGGGAAGAAGGTTACTGCCAAAAGGCTCTAGATTGATGGGGTTCAAGATATCACTGCTGTTTCTCCTGGTAAATGTGGCGTTGGCATGTCGCTTGCTTGAGGTATTCTTTGCCTTTTCTCCTGGTCTCTCCTCCAATATTTTTTAATTTCCTTGTCAAAATGTTGGCTATATGAGTCAACTTACTGATTCCTTGATTTTGAGCTGATAGCTTGGGCTAAATGAGTCAATGTAATGGATTTTGGTGTAATGTTCTAATCTTATTGATGTAATACTGTCATTTGAAGAAGATTATGAATTGGTGTTTTGGGTTAGGCAAAGAGTGTTATGTTCATGAATTTTTTTTATTTTTTTTCCCCATTTAATTTAATATCAAGGGCACCTGCTGCAAGTAAGTTGTCTAAGCCTGGGGCAACCATTAAGTGGTAAAAGTAAACCACCGTACCATAATCTAAATCCTGTCATGTTTGTATACTGTGAAATACTACGATCACTCTACCATTTTGTGGTTTCACATTACAATTAAATGAGGCCAACTTCTGAAAATATTTTCACCATTACTACAGGATGCAGTTCTATTACACTCGCAGTTTTGACAGTTGATTTGGTCATTGCAATTGCTAGTAATTGTCAATTTAATGAAGGATTGCTGATGCCGATGTCTATGGATCACATATTTCTCCTATGATAAAAATACATGGGGAGCCTGAAGTGATTTAAGGCTATGCCTTAATTGTCTGAAATACTTCCTAAGACGTTCTAGAATTCGTTATGTCAATTCTGTATATGCTAATAATGCATACTGGTGAATTGCTTAGTAGTAATCTTTCTTGAAACATATTTGACATATTCTGTTGTTAGATAAGTTAATTTGGTTTAAATGTACATTGAAAGATTCACCTCTATTTATGCTTTGACAAGAATTTGGGCTCTGTATTTGTGCAAATGCAAGCATAATAATCATGTTGTATTCATGATCATAGGTCAGTAGGTTCCCATTTCCGGCTTAACCTTATTTCTAATCCTCACCCTTTTCACCCTACTACTCTATTCTGGCTATGCGGGAGAAAATCTAACACAAAACATTTGCAAATAGTAAAGAACTTTTTGGACAGTAGTTGGAGCTTACAACTATTTTCAGGGTTCTTGAATATAGAACATAATTCATTGAAGGGTTTGTTGAGATCTCTCAGTGTAAGAAATTTTTTTTTGTGGGACCGTTGAATTTTAGTTGTTAATTTTTTTGAAAGAAACTGACTGTACTTTCTCTCAATGACTCTGTATCCTTAAGGAGTTTGGCGGAATTAGGGGTTTTGTGGCACAAAGTGGGAAGGAGGTTAGTGCCAAAAGGCTCAAGATTGATTGGGTTCAAGATATCACTGTTGTTGCTTCTGGTAAATGTGGTATTGGCAAGTCACCCGGTTGAGGTATTATTCTTTGCCTTTTCTCTGAGTATCTCCTCCAATCTTTTTTCATTTCCTTTATCAAGAAGTTGGCTATACGAGTCAAGTTACAGATTCCTTGATTTTCAGCTGATGGCTTGGGCAAAATGAATCAATGTAGTGGATTTTGGTGTAATGTTCTAATCTTATTGATGTAATGCTGTCATTTGAAGAAGATTATGAACTGGTGTTTTGGGTTAGGCGCAGAGTGTAATGTCTTGGAGATCAGGTAGAGGCCAATCTGGTTTGAAACTTTGAAGTGAATCTTTCTCCTGATTGGTTTCATTCACCCCTTCGCGAGTTTAGGAGGCTTGACCAGTCATAAACTCTGTACTGAATCTTATAAGTTCGTAGTAGTTCTCTTCCATGTGTAAGGGATACACTGTTCTACAATTGGAGTGAGTGCCTTGTTGCCCTTTGTGAAGCATATACTAACGTTCACATATAGGTTCAATAAAGAGTAACCAAGATATGTATAGGAACACAAAAATTAAAGTTTGTACTATGTGTGGTAAAATTACTGAGTTGTCTATAGATGCAAGATTGCACCCAGGATCAGTGTTAAGCCCATTCTTATTTGCAATAATTTTAGATGAAATAACAAAAGAACTTCAAGAAGACATTCCATGGTGCATGATGTTTGCGGATGATATTGTGTTATTAGACACTTCGAAAGAAAACTCTTATTAATAAAATTAGAAATATGGAGCAATGTTTTAGAATCAGAAGGATTGAGAATTAGTCGAACTAAAACGGAATATATGGAATGTAAATTTAAGGAAGACTCGGTTCTTGATAATATAATACAACACTTCACAATTGAAAGATTACTCAAAATAATCATTTTTGCCTTTTAGGATCGATAATACAAAAGAATGGAGAGATGGATAGTGATACAAGTAGTAGAATTGGATTGGGATGGACAAAATGGAGACAAGTTAGTGGCATCTTATGTGATTAAAGAAAACACATAGGTTAAAAATAAAATTCTATAGGACTGTTGTTAGGCCAACTCTGCTTTATGGAGCGGAGTGTTGGGCTTTAAAAAAGAAACAAGATTGTCGTCTTCATGTAGCGGAAATGAGAATGTTAAGTTGGATGGTTGGAGTGACCAGAAGAGATAGAGTCACAAATGTTTAGTGTAAGAGAAAAATTAGGTGTGGCACCCATTAATGAGAAAATAAGAGTGAGTAGACTTAGATGGTTTGGGCACGTATAATAGAATGGAAGACCAAAAATAACGTGGGATGAAGCTATTAGAAATGACTTTAAAACGTTAAACATTATGCTAATTATCATATGAATTAAAAATTATTAATCAAAGCAGTTAAAAAGCCTGAAAAAGGACACCAAAATTTTCATATGGAAAACTCAAGTGGAAGAAACCACGGAACCTAGTTTCCATGCACACAATGCGTTCATCCACCAAACTATGAAGAAGGAAGTATCAGAACCAAATTAACAGTTTCCTAACCCCAGAACTCCATGTTACCTTTTGACACAGATTCATCCACCAAACTCTCCACTCGAGTTTCCATGCACACAATGCGTTCATCCACCAAACTACGAAGAAGGAAGTATTAGAACCAAATTAACAGTTTCCTAACCCCAGAACTCCATGTTACCTTTTGACACAGATTCATCCACCAAACTCTCCACTCGAGTTTCCATGCACACAATGCGTTCGTCAACAGATTTGCTCCTCATGTGATCTGTTTCTCCAATCCTTGCTTTCTAACTCCATCACACAATAATATAGGATATCTTATTAAGGACCTAAGTTATGATTCAAAAATGAATCACAATTATGCTCTTGTTTAGATAAATCAGAGTACCTTCTTATGATGTTGGAGTTGATAAACAATTAGTTTCGCACTTGAAAATGCGTATTTTATTGACTTTGAACCTCCTATATTGGGTGGCACCTACTTGGTTTTCCTTGATTGATTGCCTTTTTGATCGAGATATTCTGGAGTAACTTCAGTCGATCGACATCAGGTTCAATTGATCAACCATTTCTATTGGACTTGACTGCATATAACCTGACTTTGGGGGCTTTGTTGGGGGTAATATTAGGAATGTAATATATTGTTGAAAAGCTTATCGAGTCTAGTTTTTTTTATGTAAAGCTTATAACAAAATATAAATTATTTTATTTTTAATCAATTAAAAAAACGGAGGTCAGTTTTCACAACTTGAAATCCTTATCAAGAACAACTTTTAAACTGGTTTTTTTTTTTTTTTCTCTTTTTCTTTTTCTTTTTCTTTTTCCTGAATAACTGGTTTTCAACTGAAACTCAAAATATAGGCTTTCTAACTAATATTAAAATTTCCAAATTCGTTCTTACATAAATAATATTCAATTTTAAAATAAAATTAATTCTAATTAGTTTTAGATTTAAGTCCAAATGAATTCAATTTCCCTAATTTATTCATTCCGAATTAATCCTATGGTCTCTTGAATCACTTATCTTCTTTATATTTATATTTATTCACTCATTTTCCAAAGTATTACCACGAAATGGAACTCAGCAAAGATTTTACGTATGGTCTATATTGACATGCTACCCTTAAATGATACAAACCCTTACTATTCACTCACATTTAAGGGTACGATTACAAATTTAAATAAAGAGATATATAAGAGAGAGATAGTGATGTATTGTGAATGCATTTTGTTCCTGTTCTTCCTCTTTTTAATCCATGTCATGATTTCCTTTATAATAAAATAGTTGTGGAGTAGTTCCAAAGTGGGTGATTTTCATGAATTAGTTGTTGGAGCATTCTCGTGGACAAGTGGCTCTTTGTACCTTTCCTTTCTCAACAGGAAGTTTGCAATTTCTATTAAACAAATGTAGATCTACACAATATGCCTGGAGTTGCATTTTCTTTTTCTTTTTCTTTCTTTTTTATAATTATTATAGTTGGATGCATATTACATTTTTATTTCCTGTAGACAACGTGCTGGGTGACTTTAATTGGTCATATGAAATTTTGTACAGGTGAATGTTATTGACACTGGTGCGGAGACAGTTTTGCAGCTCTGCTATTGCGTTTGGTTTCATGCAAACTCTGCCTTATATTTATACATTAACAATTGTAAACGCAGTGGGTGCTACAACTGCCATGGGCGGTGGTGCTGGTTAGAAGTTTCCAACCTTGTCCCAAATCATAGAACTGATGAGGCCGTAAATCTCGAAGTGACTGAGGAATGGGACCTGCAAGTTGTGATTTCTGCATTACAAGTGACTGAGGAATGGATTTAGAAGAGTGAGCAAGAGGGAGGGCATACCATCGGCTGTTCAGGTGGCCAGAATGGTTTTTTATTGGAAGGTAATTGAAATAGCATCTCATTGACTGACAGAAGTGGATGAATGATTAAGCGGATATTCATTGTCTTAGTGGCCTTGATTTCTTCCTATCTTTATGTATATGGTCAAATTATTTGAATTTGAGGGAATATCTTAACAACGGGCAAAGAGTAAATCATGTTTTTGTTGCCATTGTTTATGCTGTTTTGATGACAAAACCTAAAAAATGCGTTCATAACTTATTTCCCTCTTCTTTTTTTCTCTTATTTATTTATCTACTTTTTTTTTCCTCGATTGCACAAGAGCTCCAAGTTGTGAATGAAGATGACAGGGTGTGTGATTAGTTGTGGTCCTTGTGGAATTTAATCATTCTTTGCTACAGGGGGTCCATAACAGTGTTTTGAAATTTAAATATTTATTTTTTGATTAGAGACAACTAGAATACAGTAAGGGCACGTTTTGGAAACTTGGGACATGATGGGGTAGTTTTGCAATATAGATATATTTTTTTAAGAATGAGATATAATGCAATTTAAAATATATTTAAAAAATTAAGTAAAATTTAAAAATGACAAAAATCAATGATAAAATGACCAAAAATTATTATGATATATATGTATATATATATATATATGTATGTATATTTAACATATCCGCACCTTATACTTGTCCAATTTTTATGGCGTATCATGTTGTATCCCATATATGTATCTGTGTTTGTTGGTTATTGTTGTATTGGTTTCAGTATTCCTGCTTCCTAATTTGAATCCCAATGTCTTCATTCCTTGGATCCCAGTTGATTAACAAGTTAGATTTTAATAATTATTAAAAAATTATTCTATTTTACTTGATCTGTTAAATAAATTACATGAATTTAGTTCTATTTTCTTGGGATTGTTTGTCTATTTAATGTAACTTTGGAGCATATTTGATAATAAAATAAACATTTCATTTATTTTTTAAACAAGAACAATAATGATATAATGTTATTTTTATTTCAAATCTCATTTTAAATCTTCTTCTTTTTTCAAACATATAAATAAATTTTCATTTTAATTTCAATTCCAATTCCAATTCCAATTCCAATTCCGACTCCGATTCTGATTTTGATTTCTTTTCCAAATCAAATTGACACAAGTTAGTTTTAATAATTATTAAAATATTTACTTTTTTTCACCTGATTTGTAAAATAAATTTTATATTTTAGTTCTATTTTGTTCGTATTGTTTGTTTATTAATGATTGTTTTGACTTAAAATATTTTTTTCACAAAATATTTTCATTATTTGTACTTTTCAATGTTTGGCGGTTCCTTCAATCGGAACGTATAAAATAACTTACCAAAAATTAATTATAAATTATTTTTGTAAAATTTTAATATTTTTTTTGTTCCTAAATATTTTACAACAACCAAACACCACAAAATAAAAAGATATTTTTTAAAAAATATCTTACATGCTAACAAAAGGAGCCTTAACATAACTTTGGAACATATTTGATAATAAATAAATATTTCATTTATTTTTTAAATAAGAACAAAAGTGATATAATGTTATTTTTAGTTCAAATTTCATTTTAAATCTAATTTTTTCCAAGCATCTAAATAAAATTTCATTTTAATTCCGATTCCTAAATCCAATTGTCATTGATTTGAGATATATATATACTACGGGTCTGATTCCCTCGGTCACACAACCTGACCCTAATCCAGTCGGACATTCAAGCAAAGAAGAATCGGCGACGACTCCCCAGAAGCCGCAATACCGCAACACAAATCAGTAACCACCGCTTGGCGACGACTCCCCAGAAGCCACGACGCCGCAACACAAACCTGGAACCACCGCTTGGCGACCAAAACGCGGACAACATCCTATCACGATCGCACTTAGTTGATTTCCAAGTATGTTAGTATAAATTTATTCAGTTTTTTTTTTTTTCTCTATCTTTCTCCCTATTGGGCTCTCTCATATTGGTATGATTGCACAATATAAACACATACACAGATTGTATGACTGTTGATACATTTAAACGAGCAATCAAGCCGAGCTCAATTTCATTATGCACACGGATATGTATAGACAGCTTGTATGACTTTTCAGACGCGTATATACAAACACGCATATATATACAATCTTGTATGACTGTTGATACTCCTAAACTAGAGAAATCGATCATTACACACATATGTACACACAGAGCAATTGAGCCAAGCTCAATTTCATTATACACACGAGTATACACAGATTGTATGACGCTACAATCTGTCATTATACAAACACATATGTATACACAGATTACGAGGCTCAATTTCATTCGAACATTGTCAAACCGAGATCGATCATAGCTATGAAGATCTCGATCGGCTCGGACATCCCTTGAGTTGAGCCCGGAACACTCCAAAGATCGGTTTGGCTCACTTACCTCCCTAACTTTGGAATCACAGACAACCCATTGTTTAGGATGAGATAAATAAAAACGTACTACCTTACACACACAAATATGCTGGGTGCATTTTTCTTAATTTACTGTTTCATCTTTCCAATTATTTCCAAGTTTGCAGCTTTTACTTCAAATTGTACCAAACTTTAAATTTTACTAATTCATCAATTTGTCTGACAGGATTGGAGAAAGTATGCCTGCAAGTGTGCAACTGATGTCAACAGTAGTTGATAACCAACTCTCATTCTCAACAACTGATGCAAAGAGTAAGAAATTGAAGATAAATGACTTCGCAGTAGCACTACCACCAGAAATCAGGGAGATGGATGACTTACCACCAGAAATCAGGGAGCAGATACTTCCAATGTTTGACATTGCAGATTTTAATTGTTTCAGTGCAGTTTGCAAGCCTTGGAGATCGATTTGCAAAGCAAGACCAAAACTTCTCTTTGCAACAGCTGCTGCCTTGGCTAATGCTTTCCTCCAGTAGTTTTCCGGATGCTCATCATGGTTTTTTCAGTCTCTGCCATGGAAAGATTTTCAAACTAAAGCTGCCTGAGGCTCATGTTTGCAGGTGTTGTGGTTCCTCTTGGGGGTGGTTGATAATGGCAAATGAGAGTGGAGATAATTTCCTTTTGCATCCATTTTCAAGGCTCCAAATCCAGCTTCCATCCCAGTCTACACTTGCTAGTGTACCCGTTCATTTACTTCCTCGTATTCCTGAGGCTCTGGAATGGATTAACAGTCGATCATACATCCGCAAGGCCATGTTATTAACACCCCCGCGTACTGCTTCCGTTACAAGTAGTGGTAATGTGACTTCTGTGTTACGGCAATTGCTTTGTTGTGGCTATTTATGAGTGTCATTCCCTGTGCTTTTGTAGACTGGGGGATCAGGCATGGACTGATCTTGGGAACCGGCATTTACAAGTGTCTTTTCAAGATATCATATTCTACAATGGCCAGTTGTATGCCGTTACAAAAAAACATGATCTTGTGCTTTTCGAATTGGGTACCGATCCAAAAAGCACAAGGACGAACCTGCCCTGTCCTGAAGGCCATGATCCCTTTCATTCAGGTCATGGTGAGTACATTTATTTGGTGGAATCTTGTGGGGAGCTGTTGATGGTAGTAAGAATTTGGTATTATACTTTAGGGAGTGGCGATGTCAGGTCTCTTCCTCCTCGTAGAACTACTACGTTTAAGGTGTTCAAGTTAGATTCAAGTGTTCCTCGTTGGGTTAAAGTTGACAGCTTAGGCGATCGGATGCTATTTGTGGGCACAAACTGTGGCGTCTCCCTCTCTGCCAGCCGATTCTCTGGATTTAGGGGAAACTGCATTTATTTTACGGATGAAAGTTTCTGGATTATGAAGTCCATATTGGATGGTCCAAGAGCGTGCAGTGATTTGGGCATATATTCAGCTTAGATGATGGAAGTATCAAGTCATTCTTTCCAAGTGACTCTCATTCATATTTGTCTCCTCCCGTATGGTATATGCCGAGTCAATTGTAGTGTCAACTATTAGGAATTGGTTTCATGCTGTTGTATTAATTTTAAAAAATTGTATTGCTTTTGTTATATTCATTTTGGTGATTACCTTAATGTGTCCCTTTTTATAGCAGCCTTTCTTCAGTCAGCTAATTTTTTCCATTTTCATTGTTTCAGATCTTGACAATCTAGTTGGTTTTGCCTGTGCTGATCTATGGTACATAAGCCTGCAAGCCAACAGAGCGTTATTTGCGTGTGAATATGAGATTCTCAACCAAAGTAGGTAGAATTCTACATGCCAAATTTCATTGGATAATGCATCAAGGAAATACAAGCTGTTGGTCCACATAAATTAGTCAAGTACCAACAATTGTGGACAACGGTGAAGGTATCCATCACTGTATATATATCATACGTGATAATCCTCGTGGTCAGGGCTCTCCACTTCCACTGGGATCTCAACCAAGTTTTGAGTCAAAACATCTAATAAGGGGAACAAAAATACGGGTTATTAAAAGAATGGGCAAAGTGAGAACACCACCCCTAATATTTACATTTTCATTTTCGGCAAATAACATCACCTCGTATATAAATTTGTTAAGTTTGAAATATGTGACAAAGAATGACTTAATATCTATATACAATAAGAAAATAACCTTTAAGAAATCACATGACTATTTTACATTATAAAATTCCTAAAACGCCCTTTTGCTCTCCCCAAGATGCCCTCTTATACCATTTTATATATAAATCACATTTTTCTCTCCTTTTGCAAACCCATAAAGGAACTTTAGGCTTTTTATATTTACTAGGTTATCACATTTTTTTTTTTTTTTTTAGTTTTTTAATCGTTCCACTAATAGCATGCCCTTATTCGCACCAAAAGTAATTATCAGAGATTTTTAAGAACCCTAAAAGAAAATTTGATAAAAACATTTTTTATCTTTTAGCTTAATAGAAATTATTTATTAAATTCCAGATTGAAACTGATCCACCCTTCTATTCATTGTAAAGTATTACCAGTGTAAAAGCACTATGGAAACAGCAAAGATCCTGGTAACAGCTCTATTATTAACATGAATTACAGTGAATTTCCGAATAAAAAACCAAAATTTAAAAGGACAATGAACAACTAACAGTAAAGTTTGAAAAGAAAAGACAATATAATGAAAAAGTCCACATGTAGTCATCATGTACACGTGTTTGTGTTTTTAAAAACTGATTCACCACCCTTCCATTTATTGTTAATTCTTACCAGAGTTGTGAAACAGCAAATATCCTGGTAACATCTCTATTATTAACAGGAATTACAGTGACCAGATATACATTTTTTTTTTGTTTTTAAAAATATACATGTGATTAATAAACCTTGCAACATTTCCATAAATATGTGGCATCAAAACAAAGAAATTCTTCATCCTTTTAACATCCCTCTGAACTCCA